TGATTTAGGAATTGTTTGAACTTAGTCTATACTTTTGACTGATTTATCGAATCAAGCTGTTTGGGTCTTCTGTAATTAACTAGAAAATGGAAGAGCCTCTTAACTGGCATTTCCTTGACTCTGAATTCCCTTCCCATCCCATCCCCTCCCCACCCCTTCCCACTCTATATACATCTTTGAGATTAATCTTAAAATACCATGGGCAGTGGGTCACACCCCTGCTAAAGATCCTGGCCTTCCACTTCTAACTGGGCCAAGTCAGAGGATCAAGACCATTTAGTACAATTCCCATTCTTTTACAAATGAGGAAATATAGGACCTAGACAGATAAAATAACTGAATCAAAGCCATAAGTAATTAGCAAAGAAAGGATTTGAACTGACCTCTAATTTTACTGTTTCACTTTTATTTCTCTTAAGGTTGCTTCTCTAAGTTAATGTTCCTCATCCTGACATTCAAGATAATTCACTAGCTGAGTACCCCATCCTTTATCCTTTGCTGATTCAACTTCAGTTCTCTCTCCTTTAACCCAGACACCCTACTTCATTTTAAAATTAAAATTTAAAATTAAAAAATTTTAATAATTAATTAATTTATTTTTAGTTTTTAACATTCACTTCCATAAGATTTTGAGTTTTAAATTTCTCTCTCTCCTCACTCTTCCTCAAGATGGTGTGCAATCTGATACATGCCCCACTTATACACTCATATTAAGCATATTTTCCAATTAGTCATGAGTAAAGAAGAATCAGAACTAATGGGAGGAACCATAAGAAAGAAGAACAGAACAAAACAATAACAACAAGAAGGACAGCAGATAGTGTGCTTCCATGTGCACTCAGACTCCATAGTTCTTTCTCTGGATGTGGATAGCATTCATTGTGAGTCTTTTGAGTCCAGACATTCTACTTCAGTCAGAATGGTTTCATTATTTATCCTGCAAGGGCATGAGCATGGGTTTTTCGGATGGCAGACAACAAGCATTAATTGCTTACTGTGTGCCAGGCACTGTGCTAAGTGCTGAAGATCCAAATACAAGCAAAAAAAAAAAGATAGTCTGTGCCCTCTAGGAGCTTACATTCTACTCATTCGATTGTAAGATCCTGGGGGGCAGGGCCTGTCTTGCTTCTTTTTGTATCCTCAATGTTCAGCACAGTGCCTGGCACATAATAGGTGCTTAATAAATGTTTACTGATTGATTTGTGGAGGAAGTTAAAGGGAATGGAAAAGGAGAGGGGGAAAGAAAGGAAAGAAGGTACACATTTGGGAGGATGGTGGCAAAGTCTGGAGAGTCAGAAACATGGATGGGAGAGGAATGAAGCATTGCCAGCATGGTTCCTCAAAACAGAGGCCTAGGAAGGACCTCATCAAGGGGAGAAAAGGGCAAGAATGGCTGGGTAAGAAGAGCTTGAGGAAAATTCCAGGGTTAGAAGGCAGCTCAATGTCTGGAGACTCAGAAGTCCAGCTAGAAGGTGGGCATGGAGACTTTATGCAAACATCTTCAGTTAAAATACCTTATATCCTTTGCTGAGTCTGGTCAACGCTACTCTTTCTTTAAGGCCCAGTTCAAGTTCCAACCCATTCAGGCCTCTGAGCCTAATATCATTTGAGGTTCTCTAAGTGTTGTATAATTACTGAATATCTGATCATTTTCACAGGTAAATTTTCAAGTGTGGTATCAAAAGATTAATCTAGCACAATGGCTAGTACATTAATGGTCCTCAAGGAATAAATGATGAAATGGTAAAGAATTGCCTTGTCTGACACAACAGTCCCCATGCTCACGAAGCTCCTGTGGCTCCTTACTACCTGTAGGATGAGGTACAAATACTTCAGCTTGGCACCTAAATCTAAGCATGTAATTTTTGTTGAATTGAAATTGAATTTGTAAAACTGAATTAGCATGCTGTTGTCACTATTAGAATAAGTTCTAGATTTGGCATCAAAGGACCTAGATTCAAATACTGCCCTACCAGGGGTGGGGAACCTGCGACCTCAAGGCCACATGTGGTCTTCTAGGTCCTTGGGTATGGCATTTTGATTGAACCCAGGTTTTACAGGACAAATCATTTTATTAAGGGGATTTGTTCTGTGAAGTTTGGATTCAAAGGGCTGCACTTGAGGACCTAGAGGGGCACATGTGGCCTCGAGGCCACAGGTTCCCCGCCCCGCTAGACAATAGCTGTGTGACAATGAGCAAATCTCTTAACTTCTCTGAATATCAGTTCTTATAAAACTCACCACCAGGTACCATGTACACTTCCTACTAATAATAAGTTATAACAATAATCACATCTAGCATTTATGTGGTACCTATTATGTGCCAGGCAATATACCGAGAGCTTTACAAATATTTCTTGTTTAATTCTTACAACAACCCTGGGAAGTAGGTGCTATTATTATTTCCATTTTGCAGTTGAGAAAACTGTGGCACACAAAGATTAAATGACTTGCCCAGGGTCACACAGCTACTAATTTGAGACTGTATTTAAGCTCAGGTCTTCCTGAATCCAGGCCTAGTGCTCTATCCACTATGCCACCTAGGTGCCATGAAATTTTATCTCATAGGGTTGTTGTAAGAAAAGCATTTTGTATAACTTAAAGCTGTGAGGTATTATTATTAATAAAACCTTGTTCAAAGAAAGTGAATGCAATGTTCCTTCTCAGAAACATGTCAGCATCACAAAAAGATGGCTTAATGTTAAGTTGCATAATTGCTGAGATTTCTTTGTTGTATTTACTTGCTTTCACTATGCATAGAAAATTTTGAAACCTGTAATCAGAATTATGTTGCCACCATCTAATTAACTATGAATAGTACAGATCAAAGACAAGATTTGTGGAAAGAAATGGCCTATCCTGGGGAAGTTTCTCTATAATGCTATGATGAATGATTGACTTGCCTTTTAACTAGCTATTAGTTAAACTGCCAACATCTTTTCAAGCAGTGTTTGCTTTTACTGGTTCATTTTGTAAAGATGGCCCTTTTCATCTAAGTAAAAAAATACACACACACACACACATACACACACATATATGTATATATACACATATAAATGCACATATATTTAAATATCTAGGACTTTTTTCATTCATTCAAAAATTCACTCGATAGATCAACAAGCATTTATTAAACACCTACTACGTTATAGACACTGTACTAAATGATGAGGATACAAATATAAGTGAGAGTTCCTGTCTCCAAAGAGTTTGCATTCTATCCATTTTTCTAATGGGCATAATAGAAGAAACAAATATTTACCAAGGATGACCTTTATGAAAAGAAGAAAGCTCAGAGTTGTGACTTCAGCTCTCTGTGAGGCCCAATCAAACTGTGGGATGAAATATGGGATTAATGATGCCACCGAATCATCTCCAGAAACATGTGCGTGCCAAAGAGACTGGTTCTGGAGTCAAGCAGCAAAAATGAGTTTTTAGGATATAGCTGTTCAAAGTAATCACAAGACAGATGCCGGCTCCACAATCTACTGTTTATTACAGGCCATCATCTAGTTGTTGTTGTTTCTAATATTCACATTACATTTGGCTGGACATGTATGGAAGGCCAAAAAATTAAAGAGAGCTGATAAAGCACTTCAGCTCCCATTAAGATGGAAAATAAATTGGGTCCACAGTTGCCAAACTGACATAATTATCTTGCTATCTGGTTCATGTTGAGCAAAGAAACACGAAATGGACTTGAAGTGTTGGCAGACTTTATCCCACAAGCCTGGTGATGCTATTATGGTTCTATGTTTCCCAGCTTTTGAACATGATACTTGAAGACTTGAAGAAAGGCAAATAGAGCGAAAAATGAACAGGCTGCATTGTGAAACATATTCCTAGAAACCATAATTATCAATCATCTGCTCAGGGATGGATTTCCTGAATATTCCCTTTGTTTATCTGAATTACTTACAATTTCACTGCTTGTAGTATTGCATAATTAGTGACCAATCCACATATATTTAATACATAATACTTAATACTATGTTTGTAGACATTTTCTGTGTTCTCCCCCGAGTAACCATGACAATAATAATGAAGTGACTATAATTTTATAGTGGACATAATTTGATTGCAAGCTCATATCTACCGTCCCTGAGGCTGACAGGATTGTATTTCCCAGACTTATTCTTTCCCCCAATCCAGTATAAGCCAACAAACATTTATTAACGAATACCAAATAGTTTCTGTGATTACTGCTTCATAGATATAATCTCTGAGATTTTCATAATACAGTTTGAGACCTCGTACTGCTAGGCCCCCCTGCCTTCCTACTTTTTCTTCATTATTTTGCTTGTTGCTAGAGGTTTTGAAGAGATAATGGTCTCTGTTTAGGTGTGTTACAGAGGGCATTCTTGCTGTAGTTATGAGTTGGATTCAATGGCCAAAGTAGGTCTTTTTCACCTCTGAGATTCTATGATTCCATTTGCATATGTAAGAATATGCATATACAAAGCTGTCAGACTTGCTACAACTTTGGAGAAATGCTGTTACTTGCGAAGTATACTTATAAAACTCTGTATGTGTATATAAAACCACACATACCCATATTAAGACATACTCCAAATATTCACTAGTAACTGTTTCCCTAAAGATTTCTAACAGTTGTAACAGAAGGCTTTTAGTCTCCAAAATTAAACAATATATGTGAAAGTACTTTGTAAACTAGAAAGCGCTGAAAGACATAGCATGCCTCCCTACCTGAACTCTTCCGAGCAGCCACCTCATCCTCTCTTGTACACATACATTCATTAAGCACTGTTGCTTAGACTTACCCTATCTCTTAGCACCTCAGTAGGGCAGCTTGACCTCATTTCATACCTATGAGTCCCAGTGGTGTACTGTAACAGCTTACAGACAGTTCTTCCCTATTTGGAAAAACCAGTAAGAAACCATATCTTTACAAAACTATAATCTCTTACAGGTTTCTTCATTGCTCTCCATTAGTGAGACTCAGTGAGAGATACCAGAAATCTTGCTTTCCTGTTGATCTTCAACTCGTAGCAGGAAAAACCGTGAGGCTCTACTTATATTCACCAGTAGGTTCACGTAAGTAATATATTTATTTACAGCGATGACAACAACAACAACAACAGAAAGTAAAGTTCCATATTGGTTAAATCTGACTAGCTGGTCCCCTTTTAGTTTAGTTTCAGTGTTGAAATGAAAGGAGACATCCAAGTGATTCAAGAGTTTAAAAAAAAAAGTAGGTTCATTAGCCATTGCATACAAAGGGTACTCAATAGCATCTAGTTTGGATAGACTGGGTACCTTTGCTTCCATATGGAAATGTACCTGGTAGTGGGGCAGAGTGAGATGCCTCCTGTACTTTGGGACATCTGCAAGTTTGAAGGGCCTGGACATCACGTGGATGGGCCTTGTTATTCCTTTAGGTAATCAGGAGGCCAGGTCAATATGACTCGAAGCCACCAAGAAGTTGTATAAAGGCAGGCTCAATTTGAGATTTAGCTACCTGGTTTGATCAAGTCCCAGGGACAGCTTTGATAACTATCAAGGAACAAAAGTGGGTGGATTGGGAAAAGATAACCCTGGTACATATGAGCCTATTACATACACATATTCTCTTCTTCTTCTTCTTCTTCTTCTTTTTCTTCTTCTTCTTCTTCTTCTTCTTTTTCTCTCTGTATACATCTTATACACACACACACACACACACACACACACACACATGTTTCGGTCAAACACAAACGTGTGTGTGTGTGTGTGTGTGTGTGTGTGTGTGTGTGTGTGTGTGTGTATTATGGGCAGCTAGGTGGGGCAGTGGATAGTGTGCTGGGCCTTGACATAGGAAGACTCATCTTCAAGAGTTCAAATCTAACCTCAGACACTTACTAGCTGTGTGACCCTGGGCAAGCCATTTAATCTTGTTTGCCTCAGTTTCCTCATCTATAAAATGAGCTGGAGAAGGAAATGGCAAACCATTCCAATATCTTTGCCAAGAAAACCCCAAATGAGTCATGGAGAGTTGGACACAATTGAAATGACTGAACAAAAACAATATATATGTGCCTGTGTATATATATTTATATATGTATATATAGTCACATACATACATACATGAATATAATATACACACATAAAGAATCAAGTACAACAACAAATTCAACTAAAAGGGTATCTATATTATTTTATTTCTTATAATTTAGTTCATTTATACTCATATTCAGGAAACTCTTCTGGCCTTTATACTGTTTAGCCTTCTTTGAGATTATTTTCAGATATAATAAAGTAATAAAAAAGGAGACAGCATGGTATAGTGAAAAGAACACTGGAATGGAATTCAAGCCTCCCCTCTGACACCAGTTATAAGACTGAGGGCAAATCAGCAAAGCTCTCTGAATATCAGGCAACTCCTTTAAGGCTTACCTCCTGAGCTACAAAAGGTTTTCTGCTGGTTGAGAGGTTCCATACCTTGACATTCACCTACTTAAATGCCACATTAACACTACTTTACTACTTAGGATAAATCATGATGGTCAAGACACAGTCTGATTCTTATATAGTACAACAAACTGTGGGTCATCTCTTGCTCCTCTTTTGGAGGAAACCTAACTCTCTGACTCTCCTTCTACCTTTTATAATGAAGGCTCTGAAACCAGTGTCTGGCCCAGTTGTTTCTAATTTATTATAGCAAGCTTTCTCTGGGCAAATGATTCAATGTGATTCAGCAAGCTCACTCTTGAAAGGAGTGAGGCTATTTTCAAAACAACCAGCACATGTTAAATAGTTAAGTAATTTAACATAAGTATACATAAAATAAACAAGAGAAGAAAATCTTCACAATTCACCAGCCTGGGGTTATACTTGAACAGAATAGGGGCTGTTCTCTAAATCTGGTGGTCAAAGGATGTCAAGAGTTGGTTGCTAAGTGGAAAAGAATAGACAGAAATATGAAATATAGCCCTATTTTGCAGCATTTAAGTTGGAATTAAACAGAGCCCAATGAATTGAATGAATTTTGCAAATTTAAACAGAAAAACCAAATCTATTTAGAATGAACCAACCTAAAACAAACTGTTACATTATATATCTAGTTTCAGTTGATTATGTCAGCAGAATGGGGGGGGGGAGAGAGAGAGAGAGAAAGAGAGAGGGAGAGACAGAGAGAGAGGGAGAGACAGAGAGAGAGGGAGAGAGAGATGGAAGACCGACAGACAGAAGTTTTAGTAACTAGGTTGACATGTTAGCTAACTGCTGTATTCTAACAAGGTCTTAAACATGCATTGCACTCCAGTTTGGGAAAAGATGAACTATTGATAAGAATGTTTATCATACTGAAATTTGTAAAATTTCACAGCATCATCCATGATAGCAAGCTGCTTGCTGCTGCAAAAGCCCATCCTTTGAACCTATGATTTCTGACACACCATGATTTCTGACATATCAGAATTACAGGTGACCCAATGGACAATGAGAAGATTATTGGAAGGTGTAAGAAGGTTGTAGCATACTACCAATGATGACCTATTGGTGAGAAGGAACAATATTGATGTGGAGGAAAAGGGAAAATTGTCTGAAGATATGTGGACATACAGGGAATTTAGCAACAAATGTAGTTCTTAAAAAGAAAGGCATAGAAGATGAAAGCAAAGGCAGGACATGGAAAAAAATACAAAAACATGGCCTGATCTTGTAAGAATAGTATCAGTAGAGTAAAACTTGAGGATGAAATGAAGCTGGCAAGAATGCTAAGGGAAACCAAAAATGATTTTTAGCTCTATTGGGGAAGAAGCAGATCAAAGAAGAGAGAGGATTACTGCTGGTATTGATGAGGTGTAGATGCTAGAAGTGCTGGAACCCTGAAATCACAACAAGCGGGTCCTGTCCGAATGAATTCTACCCAAGCCTTCTTTCAGCCAAAGACAAAATTTATTACCAGTGAACCATACTGGCCAGACTCTTAAAGAATCTGAACATTAGTGACACCCATAAGGACAAGTGGGCATGAGGAAATCTCAGCATTTAAATGGGGGCCAGGATGAATCTTATATACAGCCAAGTAATTTTGGGGTATTTGGAGGGGGGGCTGGGAGGAAGATCTGGGTGACTGGGGAGAAGCTTAGGGTGAATGGCTGGGAGGTTGAATGGGGTCATACATGGGATAGAAAATGAAGGGCTAGGCTTTATTAGGGTAACAAAGAGCTGGAAGTAAGAGGTAGGAAGGGGTCTGGATAAGAACAAAGATGAGAAATATATTAGGATCAAAGACTAGGCTTCTTCATTAGGATATCAAAGGAAATAAGGCCTAGGAGAAGGGAGAGCTAGTCCATCAGAATAAGAATAAGAGATAAGGAAAGGCCAGTTGAATGGATTATAGCCTCAGCAACCAGTTGAGACCAAGTAGGTGAGTGAGGTCAAAGGAAGTTTAAGGGTTTTCTGGGGCCATAGACAAATAGGACCCACATTCTTTTAGGGGCAAGGGGCAAAGGTCTTGGCTTGGGCCCATATCCCATCAATATTGTTTGGGGAGACCATACTAAGATGGAGAAAGGACAGAATAAGGATCCAAAAAGATCTCAATAGATTAGCACATGGCTGAATATAATATGTCATTTTTTAATACGGTCAAATGTCAAGTCTTATAGTTGTGTCAAAAAAACTGAGGCCTAGAAAGGAAAAATGACTTAGTCACTGGTCTATATGCAGTCAGTAGCAGAGTCAGGATTCAAATCTAGGTCCTCTGGTTCCAAATGCAGTGTTATTCCTACCAAATCACACTACTTGTAATAGTTTACTGTTGTGTCTTAGTAATTATGCTGTAGTAAATAAAACTCAGATTGTCTTCGAATTTTAGAATCTTGGCAGGGCTCTGTTCATAGTTCTATAGTGGGAAAGGACTTAAGGCAGGGGTAGGGAACCTGCAGGCTCGAGGCCACATGTGGCCTTCTAGGCCCTCAAGTGTGGCCCTTTGACTGAATTCAAACTTCACAGAGCAAATCGTTTGCATTCAGTCAAAGGGCCCCACTTGAGGACCTAAAGGACCACCCGTGGCCTCGAGGCCAAAGTTCTGCACCCCTTACTTAAAAGATCATCTAGTTAATCCAATCCATTCACTTTACAAACCGAGGTGAAGTGATTTGCCCATGTTATTATATGTAGTAAGTAGAAAAGTTGGGATTCAAATCTAGGTCACTGGATTACAGGACAGCTAAGGGGTTCCATAGTGCATAGAATGCTGGGCCTGGAGTCAGGAAGATTCATCTTTCTGAGTTCAAATCTGGTCTGAGACACTAATTTGTGACCTTGGGCAAGTCACATAACCCTGCTTGCCTCAGTGTCCTCATCTGTAAAATGAGCTGGAGAAGGAAATGACAAATTACTCCAGTATCTTTGTCAAGGAAATCCCAAATAGGATCACAAAGAGTTGGACATGACTGAAAAATGACTGAACAACAATAAAAGTTGGATTACAAATTTTTGCCCTCTTCTCACTATGCCCATGAAGCTTATGGGTGTTTGATTAATGGAGAAAGACTCCAGGTTTAGATAGAAGATTACATAGAATAATTCTAATCACAAATCTGCATGAGTGGCTTAGGTATAGCAATTCTTCATCTTTTGAAAGAGAATAATTGATTTCACATCCTGCGTGCATGTCAGAATAAATTGTTTTTACAAAGGGAAATATGTATTTTCCTATTATTATGACATGATTACTACAAAAGGCCTGTCTTTGCAGTCAGCTAGAAAAGGCTTAGATTATACCCAGACCAGAGAACTTCATCAGATGGTGTCCTGAGAACCAGACAGCTATATGAGATGAGACTTCTGAGCCTTAAATGGACAATTTTATTCACTGTTTACTTTTCCCCTTTGCAACTTTTACTAAAGGGGACTGCCCCCTTTGGTTTTTTCAATGCATTGATCATTTTCTCCTCTTTTTTTTTTCTCCCTCAGATTGTTACCCATCATAAGTACCAAAACCCTTGAAGTGTTGGCCATATCAGTTAGTGATTCGTTGAGGTTATGCCTCTCATTAGAATCAGATGGTGGAATGTGAAAAATGACTATTAATAATCAATATCTTGGAGATTCAGAGCCTCCTCAGACCCCTTCTTCCAAAGTCCAGACTTTAAGTTCAGTTTTTCTTCTGAAGGGCATTACTGATAACGAGAATGCATTGATTTTCCTTATCCTGATCAGCCCCCACCCAAACTTGCAAGTAATTTAATCTAAGGTAGGGAAGCACATGGTGTTCTCAAGCTTGGGAGAGACAGATTCTTTTGTCTAGATAGCCCAAGGCTGGGAGTGGTCTGGTATGGCTGGAAGTGGTCTGCTATAGAGATATTTTCTCTATTCAGGGGTGAAAGAGTGAAATCAGCCAGTTGGAAGGGTACAGAAACTGTACACCCTAACCCCAAAGTGAGCTTGGTTCCAGACTGACTCCTATGCATGGACGCATGCATGCTGCCCGCTCTGAGAGAAATTAAAAACTGATACAACCTAAAAAAAAAAATTGACAACAAACTAGCTTTAAAAAAAAAAAGGCCTGTCTTTACCATCTGTAAATCAATATCTCCATCCACATACAAACCTTTTGCTGTTCTAGGTCTTCTGGGATTGTGAAGCTTCCACCCCCTGCCCCCTTAACCCCCAGCTATGTCAAATCATGCAAGTATCCTGTGCACAGTAGCCCTCTGGAACCTCCATTGCCCTCATCCTTTTTAAGAATTTTGAGTTCACTTAGCTTCTAAAGCATTGGGTAGAAAGCTATGCAGTGAAGGCCAAATGGTCTTCTAAAGGAAGTCAAAAGAATCAAGGAGAATCCAGTCATGGGCTTGACATAGAAACCTCTAATATTATTCTAGTCCTCCAAAAGTTTAAATGTAGAAACTGACACCATGAGTACTCCAATGTATAAAAATGATTGCAACTATTATCTAGAAAGAATCTTTTCAACATAGCTAAAATGTAAAATTATAAATGTTTACCACCAAGGTGAGACATATTCATACGTGAGACAGGGAATACTTTTGCTCACATCTATTTTCTATTATACAAGTAGAGGGGTTGAATATATAATGACATCAAGATAACCTCTGGAAATTCAGTAAATATTTGATATCATCTTATTTTCTTGCAATTTCTTGCAAGCACACACCTGTGCTGGCAGAAGAAAAATCATGTTACTTAAAAATTCTAGTTTGTTTGATTTTCTGTTAATTTTCAGTTTTACTTCAGTTAAACTTCAGGGAATATATCCTTCTGTACCCGGAATGAAGTGGACAACCAAGTGTAATAGTGCAAAACATTCTAAGCTGATATAAAATCTTCAGCTGTACACATCCCCTACTGAAAGAAACATGGTCCCTATTATCAGCAGGGAATAACCAACTTACACCATCACTGTCAAATAAGACAGAAGAATCACATTTCAGAAAGCAGAAACCATAGGTACAAATTAAAATGTTGAAACTGCAAAATTCTGAGAATCCAGCTTGTCTGGAATTAGAGAAGCTGTCATCCATAAATTTGCAGTCAGTTCCAAAAGACAACCATGAAAATTGGACAGGCTATAAACATGCAAGGAAAACATACAGCTGTATTCCACCCAGGCCAATCCAGATTTCTATTAAGATGCTTCACTGCATGTAACCTCAGCAGTCTTTTTAAAGGCTTTAAGGGGGCCCCATGAATGGAAAAAGAGGAGATTTCAGTTTTTCTCAATGGCTTCCTTTGTTACTTAAACATAAATTGTTCTCTGAATTTCCCTTTGTTAAAACAAGCCCATTTGTTTTACTCCTTTTCATTTCACACACAGTAGAAGGGTCTGACTTATTATTTTACAATTGGAACACTTTCTATAAAACTAACAAATTTAGATGTGACTGGAAGAAATATTAGAAAAATCATAAATAAAGTAATAAGCTTCCAAAGAACACTGAGCATGTCTGTCTGCTTAAAAGTGTTTTACTTTGTTATATACTGGGAATCTCTAACTGAAAAAGTGCTGTATCTCAGGAGTCTCCTCCCTTTTCCTCTCCCTCCTCTTCCTTTCCCTTTTCTTTTCAAGAATGGGTCTCCGCAACTCTAGGTAGAGTGCCCACCCATGGGCCCAACCGCAACACAAAAGCTTTGACTCATTCTGTTTCTGACCTGCACCAGTTCATGTCTCCTCAGGAAGTCTGTCCTACATTAGAGCAAATACTCAATGGGCTTACCTCACTACAATTCAGAACTCCTCCACTCAAACAATCTACCAATCTCAGTCTCCCCAAGTAGCAAGGATTAAAGGCTTGCATTAACAAGCTCAGCAGGAGTCTTTAACTGGGTTGTTTGGAGGTAAAAGAACACCTGAGAAACAAAGTTCCACATGGTGGCTAGGTTCCATGAAAGCCTACTGAGCGCAGATCAAAGGAGAACTCTAGTAACAATAGCACTATAGAATCTAACACTATTTAAACATTGTTTCTGTAGGAAAATGAACTCAGAGTTCCAAGTTAGAGTGCTGTGGACACATCTTCATCTCCACTCTTCTCATTCCACCTACTGCAGCTTCGTCCCTCTGGACACACTGTTGTTGTTCAGTGGTTCAGTCACCTGTGACTCGTTGTGACCCCGTGGACCATAGCATGCCAATGCTGTCCATGGACTTTTGTTGGCAAGGAAAACTGGTTTGCCATGGAAAACTGGTTTGCCATTTCCTTCTCCAGTGGACTAAGGCAAACAGAGATTAAGTGACTTGTCCTGGGTGAAAGGGCTTGTAAATGCCTAAGGCCAAATTTGAACTCAGGTCTTCCAAATAGGGTACAACAGTATATATGTTGAATATAAATATGCTCTTATTTGATCAATTAATCAGTAAGCATTTATTAAGTACATACTATAAACCAGGCATAAAGACAAAAATGAAAATAATTCCTGTTCTCAAGGGGCTTCCATTCTATTGGGTAAAAGATACTGTTATCTGTTGCCTAATTTAGATATATGCTTCCATTTTCAAAGACAAGTCTATTCAAACTTTGGAAATAATAGCTCAGTTTCTATAGAACTTTACAAAGTGCTTCTTTTACAACAAAATGATAAGGTGGGTATTATCTCCATTTTACAGATGCAAAAACAGTCTCTAAGAAGTTGAATAATTTATGCAGGATTGAATAGCTGATAAGTGGCACAGCTGGAATTCAGGCTGGGTTTTATAATTCAGTGTTCTTTGCACACAACTTCTAGGCACATTATCCCACTGTTTAAAGCCAACATTCTTAACAAGGGGTCCATGAACTTTTAAAAAAATTCTGATAACTGTATCTCAAAATAACTGATTTCCTTTATAATCCTTTTATTTTATGTATTTAACAACATTATTTTGAGAAGGGGTCCAAACATTCCAAACAACTAACAGAAGGGGCCCCTGGCACAAAAAAGGTTAGAAACTACTAGGTTAAAGTATAAAATCTGAGGGGCAAAGAAAGGGTGTTTTTTGTTTTGGTTTGGTTTTGGTCAGCAGACAAAAAAAAGGCAAAGATTTCAGATAAAACAATTTGAGATTGCAGATAAATCAAGATTTAACTTTTTCCCCAAGTGACATATTAAAGAAATGCAAACAAGAGGAAGTAGGCAAGAGCCAAGTTGTATGTTATATCAATGAACTAGAACACTTATGACATGAAATGACCTATGAGCTTTCAAGATTTGTTTCAAAAATATCATTGAGGGGCTACTAAACGTGGCCATCCTATATAATTTGGCAAAAGTCCTAATTCTGGTAGAAAATGTTTGTTTACAGCACCAATATTGTTCAAAGTTTTTACTGTGAGAAAATGGAAGAGTGAGAATCAAAGTTAGTTAAAAATGCCCTTTTGAAGCATATGCAGCGTGAAGTGTTTTTCTACAAATGTTCCTTTTCAGCTTTTTTTTTTAAATTTAAGAAAATTAAAGATACCACCCTGAGTTACAAAAAATGTGACTCAGCTACTCCATTGCTTGTCAAATTAGAAGAAAATGTTTAAAATCAAGGAAGGGTGTTGAGTGAAATTCCAGGTGTGTTAAAATCCAAATGAATGATGGAACCTTCAGTATTTCTGATGAGATTTAATAAGAAATAAAAACAGACCACAACGACTATGGGAACTTTCAGGCCTCTGTCACAGGTGGTTTGCATAGATGCACACACCGATACTATTTTATTGTTTGGTGGATTGGGTTTGAGACAGAAGGAAAAGAAGAAACTAGGTATATAGACATATGCTTCTGCTCTGCTCTTCAGTGTCTACGTCCTTATTGAGCAAACACTCTCAGTGACCTAGGAATCTGATAAAAGTACTAGTCTACTAAGCAGGCCAAGGGGCCATTTTTTACAGAATTTAAGAACGATTATAGCTGACAGCTGTTATAGAACCTTTATGGAAGTTGAATGAAAATATCTATTGCAGGTAAGCAAACAAAATTGAAAAGAAATAAAACTTTAAAAGTGATAAAGTTTGTTTTTATGTTATAGATAATTATATTTGAATATCATAGAATTGCAATAAGTGATTAGGCTAGGCAATGTATAAGATCCTTTTCACCTCTGAGTCCTACAACTCTAGGCCAACTATGGAAGAAAACCACCTCAAGTCACAGTGAAATTGACTTGTGAGAAGACAAGCCATGAGATAAGATACTTTTCAAAGATAAACTTCTTTTCAATATTTTAATTCTATATTAAACAAAAAAGGATCATCTTTCACATATGAAGATTATATTACTGGGTTAGCATCAGTAAGCTATATCCTCTGTTTCATTTTTTTTAAGTGATGATCAATAATTTGTCAAAGCATCCAGACCTTCTCACAGAGTATCTCTCCTGTTTAATAGCAAGCACACTTTTCAGATGGTTGGCCAGAGCAAATTGTGGCAATGAAAGAAGGATTTACCATTTTGAAGTCTAACTGCAACACTGACTGCATTTATCAATTGGTACCAGGGAGATGGATTTGTGAATGAAAATTAAGTTGTTAAGGTAATTTGACAATACAAATGCTAACCTCATTTCTACTAAACACATTTCTTCAAATCGATTAAAGCCAACAGAAAACATAATTTAAAAATATGTGTTAAGCTAGATCTAAGAGCTTCTGGATAATTTCTATAGAATCCAGTGTTCTGTGTGGTGGCCTATGTTTTGCATGAATTGTCTACATTTGGTAAAAAAAAATTATAGGAATGTTTACATGTAAATGAATATGCATTGTGAAAAGATAGCTCTTAATTTTAAAGTTTACTTTTTCTCAAAATTATATAGTTCCTAAATTCCTGGTACTTTAAATGTTGCTATTTTCTTAAAATAGTGTAACTATAAGAATCACTAATGAGACACTTTCAAGAGTGTGAGAGGAAATTAAGTAAATTGTTTATGCAAATTGTCCTTAAAACCATTTTGTTATTGTTTGGTTGTTTCAGTTGTGTATGGCTCTACATGACCCCATTTTGGGGTTTTCTTGGCAAAGACACTAGAGTGGTTTGCCATTTCCTTCTCCAGCTCAGTTTTACAGATGAAGAACTGAGGCAAACAGGGTTAAATAACTTGGCCAAAGTAACACAGCTAGTAAATATCTGAGGCTGGATTTGAATTCAGGTCCTCCTGACTCCAGGCCCAGTGCTCTATCCACTGTGCCACCTAGCTTCCCTAAAATAATTTACATATAATTATTTTAATACATAAGAGGCAGTGTGGGGTAGGGGATAGAGGACTAGCCTTTAAGTCAGGAAAGACTTGGCTTCTATCTCTGACAAACAATAAGTGTGACCATGGGCAAGTCATATCCTCTCAGTGCCTTAGGTAAAGCTTTAAGGCAATCTCTATGCTGATGCTTCTTGCCCCAACCTCTCTGATGACCTCTGATCTATCTCCAACTGCCTTTCTGACATCTCAAACTGGAAGTCCAGTAGACATCTTAAACTGAACATCCAAAACAGAAATCTATCTTTTTCCCCTAAACTTTCCTGCTTCCTATTTTCCCTATTAATGTAGAGGGCAGCCCCACCTTCCCAGCCCCTCAGGCTTGTAACCTACAAGTTATCCTCAACTCCTCACTATCTCTTGCTTTCTATATCTAATCTGTTGCCAAGGCCTGTCAATTTCACCTCTGCAATATCTCTCCACCTTCTCTCCTCTGACATTGCCTGGTGTAGGCCCTCATCACCTCATGTCTAGACTATTGCAATAGCCTGCTGGTGAGTCTGTGGGCTTCTAGTTTCTCCCTACTCCGAAACATCCTCCATTCAGCCACCAAAATGATCTTCCTAAAGCACAAGTCTGCTCATATCACTACCTTACTCAATAAACTCCAGTGATTCTATTGCCTCCAAGATTAAATAAAAAATATTCTGTTTTGGCATTCAAAGCCCCCCTTTTTTTTACCTTTTCAGTCTTTTTGCACCTAATTTCCTCACCACATATTCTTTGATCCAGTGATACTGGCCTTCTGCCTGTTCCACAAACAAGATGATCCATCTCTCAGTATTATTTTTAAAGACTGTTTTTCAATTTGATATGCTAAAAAATACTGAATTAATGTTGCTGTCCTCTTTGTTTACAATATTGTAATCACAATCCAGAATTTAACTGAATATAAAAACATGATTTCTATCTAGTAAATTTAACTGTAAAGGTAAAAAAAAACAACAAAAACCCCCAACCCCCAAACAAAAACAAACAAACAAACCAAAAACCTGAGTTCAAATCTGACCCCAGACACTTATTAGCTGTGTGACCCTGGGTAAGTCACTTAACCCTGATTGCCTTCAAAAAACAAAAAGGAACCAAGACTTGAAAATTTCCAGGGAGCTAAGTGGTACAGTGGATAGAACACCAGTCTTGGATTCAAGAGGACCTGAGCTCAGATCAGACTTCAGACACTAGCTGTGAAACCCTGGGCAAATCACTTAACCCTGATTGCCTTTATTTTTTTTTTAAAGACATTTTCTCTGGCTATCCCCATTTTTGGAATGCTCTCCATCTTCAAATCTCTATACTCAGACACTTAGTAGCTGTATGAGCTTGGACAAGTCACTTAATCTCTATTTGCTTCAGTTGACTCATCTGTAAAACAGAGATAATAATAGCACCTACCTACCAGGGTTGCTGAGAGGATTAAATGAAATAATAATTGTAAAGCCCTTAGCATAATGTCTGGCATATAATAAGTGCTATATAAATGTCAGATTATCATAATCATTATGGACTTCCCTGGTTTCTTTTAAGTCTCAACTGAAATCCCAACTTTTACAAGAAACCTTTCCCAACCTCTTTTAAGTATAGTGCGTATTTAACTGTATATTGCTAGCTTTTTAAATATTTGTTTATGTGTTGTCTCCCCCATCAGATGGTGAGCTCCTTGACAGCAAACTGTTTTGGGGACTGTCTTTTGCTCCTTTTTGTATCCCTAGTGCTTAGCACAGTACCAGTCACATAGTAAGCACTTAATAGATGCTTACTAATTGATTGATAAGACTGTAAGTTCCAAATGAGTTGCTGATCTGCACCTATGAATGAAGTTTTCAACCCTGGAGTTCCCCCTACAATGATGAAATAACAGGCCCAACTCTCTCTCCCTGTTCCAATACAAAATCAATTTATTTCTGCTAATATCATTAGTTCTATTTGTCTTATGGATACTAATCCTATGATAAAAGGAAAATTCCAACCATTCAAAGCAAATTACTATTAGTTCCCACAAAGCTGTTGCCTTTTATGCTTATTAATGTCTTCTTTAAGATGTTACAAATTGAATTTCAGGAACCCTACACACCAGATGGAGAGCTGACAAGACAAGGAGGATAGAGAAACACCTTGGAATCAAGAAGAAAAAGGTTCAAGTCTTGCCTATGAGGCACTGGATTTCCGACTCTGGGTAAGTCACTTAACCTTTTACATTGTTCCTATCCACTAAGAGATTCTAATCCAAGACATATAACATGACATACACAATTACACCAAAGGACATACAAATTCACATTCAAACATCAGGAGGAGCTATCTAACATCAAGTATTTTTATTATCTTCCATAAACAGTAGAAGTATCTATGTGTAAATGTGGATGAAGGAGAGTGAAGAATGCAGTATGTGTATGGGTGAATTTCTTGTTCAGGAAAGATGGAGGTGAGAATGTCCAAAAGAATGCTTTGTCTTGTATAAGGAAGAAGGCAGCAATCCACATCTGCGCAACTGGGACTTTATTAGAAGACTACAGATGTCAATCAACACAGAATAACCACTGTACACATGTGAACCAGATGCTGCCACGTAAAATAACCCATGGTGTTACATAGATGAATCACTGAAAATGTAATTACACATCAGTCTTAGGTTATTAGTAACAGGTCCACCTATTTGGATCCCATATGGTTCCATCCATGTAGTCCTGGAAAATCAGCAGATCAGTACTTAGAAACGCACAAGCAAAAGTCCTTTCTTTGCTACTCCTGGACATGCACTCTCTCTCTCTCCCTGTAACTTCCCTCATGACAAATAAGTGATGATTGTATGTTTTTAGTCAAATATGTTTGGGATAGCTATCTTCTGCTGCCTCCCATTAGGAAAGGTTGTATCAATGTTTATATGATAGAATCTACTTTTCAAAAGATTTTATTTCAACTGGAAAAGCACTTTTTTTCCCCAACAGACATACAGAATGTTTATAAGAGTATGTCTACAAATTCATGTTAGTAAGGGAAAGTATTTATTTGTTTATTTACTTTTTGTAAAAATTCTGACTCCCTAATTTGCCCAAGCTGCAAGTATAGGGGTTTCTCATGGGCCAACACAAGCTTGGCCTGCTCCATTTACAACTTGTGCTGGTTCATCCTCCTTAGGCAACTGGTAGCTGCCCATCGCTGAGGGCTTACCATAGTAATGGCAAACTTAGCTCAGACACTGTATTGGTATAGCTCACTGTAGCTCAGAACTCTTGAGCTCATGATCTACCAGCCTCAGCCTTCCCTGTATCAGAGATTACAGACATGCACCACTTTTTGCCTGGCAAATTTATTTAAAATTACTTAGTATACACTAAGTTTAGGTTTGAGTTTGGGAAGTGAACTGGTATATATAATTATTGTACTGATTATGAGGTCAATTTTCTTTAAATGTACACACATATACACATTTATAGGTATAGAGAGATGGATGGATTCACTAAAGCAATGGCTCTTCATTTTTGTGTCTTGCAGCTCTTTGGTAGTCTGTTGAAGCCTATGAACCCCTTCTCAGAACATTTTTTAAAAGATTCATAAGTGGAAGGAATGCTAAATTTCAACTAGAAGTAGTAAAAATAATGACATAATCTTTTTTTCTATTCAAGTTTGTGAACTCCATGAAATTTATCTGTGGGTCCCTTAGAAGTCCATGGCCCTAGATTAAGAAACCACACACTAAAGTGTCATGATATTTAAGGTGGTTAGGAAGAATTTGTTTTAATACAATGTTTGTCAGAGCTCAGAGGGTGATCTGCCTGGGTCTAATAAAGTTTCTGCCTATTTAACATCATCTATTTTCTTGTTTTCTATTTGTGTCTTGGTACTCAATGACAAAATGAAGCTGAATTTTTAAGTCAAATACATAACTTTTTCGAGAGAGTTTAATTTTCTTTTTTTCACATATACCATTCCAAGCAAAGAAAATCAACAAACCAAAGCATCCTTCCAAATTACACCAACATTGGAAAACTAAAGCATGACACATATATTCATGACTACTATAATATCATATTTAATTAACTTAATGTCAGAGTCTCACGTGTTCTTAAATGACCTAAGAAAGATGGAAAGCAACAAGGAAAGAGCAAGTGATCCAGCAGGGTCCTGGTTTCAGCTGTTGGTTTTACTTTCTTTGAGTACTAGGCAGCATGAGCCCAATTAACCCTAACTGGCAAATGGGACTGTCTCTCTCCTTTTCCAAAGGTATTTTATCACTCAATTAAATAAAGAATAAATCTTAGATTGACTCTAATCCCAATATAAGGATGGCATCATCTTTTTAAAGCTGGAGAGAAAGTACATAGTGTTGGGTGTGGGCTTGGGGCTGAGGGAATGGGGGATTAAACATATAAAGTGGCATGTCAGCATATTCTTTGGAAATCAGAAGCACAGATCACAAATTTAAATCACAGGTAGCATAACATCCCCTGAAGGGAAAATTTCCAGCTGCTTAATAAGCACCCTGAGCCTTTATCCCTGATTAGCATACTATAAAAACCATAAGAAAGTAAAATCATTGCTACTTGCTTTTAATACCATAGACTGTTAATTGTAATAAGATATTCAAGGTCTAGCAATAAGAGTCCCTTGCCAATCTGCTGGGAATTGATGAAAGCAATTAAGGAGAGGGTCTTGGTATTGTCAAGCTGTCAAGCAAAGCTTAATATGATTCTTTAAGATTGTACATTTCTTTCTACACTCTTGAAGAAATAGACTGCAAGCTGCTTTCTGGCAAGAATTAGTTTCAGTAAAACCAAGGGAAATGTGACTACATTACTAAAAGCCCATGCTATGCAGTGATTAAATTAAATTCTGTGTGTCAAAGTAAAAACATCAAGAAATAAACCATATTTTAGTCCAAAATGAATCTCTTGAGTGGAAAATGTGATATTTGCAGATGTACTGATTGGAAAACTGATTTTACCATAAAGAATATTAAAAGTGAAATGCCTTAAGCCTAGTGAGAACAATTATTTGGTTTCTTTCAATTATACTTTTTGAAGGAAAAAAAAACCAGTTCATGCTGAAGAGAAATGAATTTCCAATAAATAAGATCTGACTCATTTATTACTAATAAAATAATCTAGCTTAAAAAAGTTAAGTTTCTAAAAGACCACTGAGATCAACTATTTTGTGGCTCTGTCTTCATGGCAAACATGGGCAGCTTTGTGGTATGGGAGTAAGGGAAGCACTGAGCATAAAACTTAAGTTCAGCACTTTAAAAAATCTTTTCCCAGGAGCTTGCCATAACAAAAATGTTGGTGCTTTTTGCAACTTTCTTCAACTTGCTCGGATGTGAGGGGTAACCATTTTGGAGTCCCATTTCCTCTTTCTAATAATGAAACAGATTTTTGGAGAAATTCTCCTCTAGTTCAGTTCCTTGGAGAACAGGGATTGAAATCATTAGTCTTTTGACCCACGAGGTTCAATTTCAATCCAACAAACATCTATTAAGGCACTGTGTTGGTTCTGGGGCTACAAAGACAAAAACAAGAAAGTCACCTACCTCAAGGAGCTTGCCTTCTTCTAGGGGTGAGGTTACAACATGTACACAAGTAAATACAACGTGCATGAAAAATAATACAGAGTAATTTCAAGATGAAGAAACTATCAATAACTGGGTAGGTCTGGTATGTCTCTTCTAGAAGGTGGCACCTGAGCTGATTTTTGAAGGAAACTTAGAGCTTCTGCAAGCCAGAGGTGAGAAAGGAGAGGGTAGCTTTTTTTCTGACCCCTTTTAAGAAAGTTGCATTACATCTCACTCATTCAGTTTTGCAGAGTCCGGGATTGATATTACCTTAGAGGCTGGCCAAAAACCAAACCAAACCAAACCAAAACAAAAAAACCAAAAATATGCTTCCTAGAGTCAATCCACAGCCTATCCTCTCTAAGGCAAAGACCTGTTTATGAGAATTACAATGGTGGCAACAACCTTATTTAACATAGACTACATCCTTGAAAACCAGTGCTAAGGTTGATGACGGCAGCACACTGGAAAGAAACAAAGCCAGACATAAGGAATAGCCTGCTGATCTTGAAATATATGAAATCCAAGTGTTTATTTATTAGTCTTTCTAGAATAATAAAAGCTCTCTTTTCATGCTTCCAGATGCACCATAAAAGGAGTAGCAATATCAAAAGGCAGTACTAGTTTAAGTATTAAAAGAGTGTTAATGTGCACATTCTACTGTTCATTTCACATCTGTGGATGGGAGTAAGGATGAGATGTGTAGAAACTCTAAATAGATTAACACAGTACCTCAAGTACAAAGAGGACTTTCAGAAAAGTCTCATTAGTGTTTTGGCTGATGAAGTTGGCTGTATTTTGGGGGTCTTAGTTTTCCTATTGTAGCCAAAATGGTGACAAAAGAAGTAATGTGCTGTCTAGAGACCAGCAGACAAATATTTTTAGAAGAGATTGAAGTTTGTAGGCCTAGGCTGGTGTAGACAGACATGGCAGAGACAGACAAAGCAGAAGGGGATATTTTCATGTTAAAATAGAGTGATCAATGGAACTTAATCAGAGAACTCCTTTGATAATGATCTAAGCATGCAACCAAAATATTTATTGTATTACACATGTATTTTTCTACTGATATATGAAGAATTTCATACTCTTGAGACTAAGTATAAGACACGAATTATGGAAGCAAGATGAGGTATTTTGTACTTTCTATATAGTGACACTAAATGAGAAATTAAATGATGGTTGAAACAGCCTTTTGTTATGAACATGAGAATCAGCTATTTATTCTTTTATAAATCACCAAACCACATACCAAATGTTTATTTTTATCTCCTACACTCAAGGGAAAACAGATGAAAAACCCTCAGAAGACAAACGGAAACTTGCTTCAGAAAAATGGCTAGAGAAATGATTTTGGGAAATCTGTATGGCCACTTAAAAAAAAATGGCAACTCTGGGTGCGAGTGAAGGATTTCTCAAGAAAAGTGAACAAGATGGCTTTGTTTGATTATTTTTAAAACGTTTCCTTTTTTTTTTACGTCATGTTCAAGTGGATCCCTCCTCATTGTCTTAGCCAGTGAGCTCTGTTAGATAATTAATAGGGAAGAAACACTGACATTTATATGAATACATATCTATCTTACTTCAACCTCCTTCAATTCCACATCCATCTTAC